ATACAGGTATACCTCGCCTTACGTCGGTAATTGGTTCCAGGAGAACGACTTAAGTCGAAAAACGACATAAGTTAATTTACTTGTCTCCGAATCTATTTGCCACTAGGCTAAACCATAAATAACCAATTCCCGTTCTGTATTTTATCTATTAATGCATTTTTAATAATATATGGTTAATAAGGATCTATTTTAAGCTTACAAACAAATAAATTTTAGTTTTTAATATAGTACAGAAAAAAGTAATTTAAATTTACGAATGCATGTACTGTACTGTAAATACAGTATATACTTGTAAATGTATATATTATAATATGATTTTATGTGCTTTAAACATTTTTCTAGTTATGTTACGACTTTAATATTTGTGGCGGACAGACGTAAAGTCGAATAAAATGACTTAAACTTGATTTTTATTTTTCCATATACAGTACTTTCTTGACAAACGATGTATAATCGGGAACGACGTAACTCGAAACAACGTAAGTCGAGGTATACCTGTACTCAAATTCTCCCTACACTCACTAAGGCATATTTGTTGTCACTTCTTCCACAGCAGCCATAATTCTACAGCTCCTGAAGCTTGTGTAGATTATTCATATAACACAATGATGAGTGAGTCCAACTTTATGAACTACAGAAAACAAAACACTTACTTTACGACATTTACTAGAGGTAGTAGATAACAAGATGTTTGAATGCAGATAGGAGATGAAACTCAGGCACTTAGCCTATTGATTGGTGTATATCACATATTTGTCAGATAATAATTAATATAATTATAGTAATTTAAAATGATAGCTCCAAAGCTTCTGAAAGCTGGTTGTACACTAGTAAATAACACCAACAAAACCTTCAAAATATACCAGCAAATATAATTTAATATAAATTATATTTGCTGGTATATTTTGAAGGTTTTGTTGGCGATATTTATTAAAATGATAGCATTCATTTTGGAAGATCATTTATTTTTATACAAAAAAAAATAGTTCAAGAATCTTGTTTAAAAATATATTTGTTCATTTTTTCATTTATTAAAATAAAAAGTATTTATCAACTAAATTTATACATTTTGAATATTTATTAATAGCATATTTTTTCTTTTTTTTTATAGATGTTTCATTGAGACAATGCAAAAAACAGAAAAAAATTTTGAAGAAATATTAAGAATACAGATGTTTGTAATTGCTACACCATTATATAATAATTAAAATCAATAACATCAATTAAGATAATTAATCAAAAAAATTTATTGCNAAATAATATTAAAGTAGCCAAGACATAGCCAAATATTGTAGCGCCACATCACTAGCGGACATTTGAAATTTGCCGACTAGGACGGTCGGTTAACCGAGGGGTCGGATAATCGAGGCTCTACTGTAGTTTTTTTAACAACTGAAATACGAACCACTAGGTCCAAGTTTTTCTCCGCGCTCGGGAAAAATCCTCGGCTCTTCATACTCGATGGCCCTGCATTTATGTATTATATTTAAAAACCAAAATACCTTAATGTATTTAATACATATTTAACTTCTGTGATAGAAATAAACTTGTTCAAACTCTGCATTGAGTAATGTTAATACGAATTTCTATGCTATTTTCTATAATGAGAATGCATTTGAAAAATTACAAGGCCGTGTATGGTTGAATAAAATTATTTGAAAAATATTATCGATCCTAGGACTAAACGATAAACACAATATTAATTTAGATTTTATTAATACTATTCGACAGAATGGCTGAGCGGTTAAGGTCCCAGCCTACCACCGTAGGAGATTCGTAATCGAATCTAGACGAATCGAAAAACCTTAACAGTTTTTCGTTTTTAAACTATGATAATAATATGAATTTAAAAAAAAAAATTATTTTAAGGCATGCATATCAAAAAATAATTGAAAAAAACAATATAGATTTATATTTTTGAAATNTTTCCAAAACGTTAGTGAGTTTAAGCCGAACCCATCGTAAACATTTAATTAATCATCTTGATCGGATCCCGGATGGGTTCCGAATATCAACTTCTTTCTTATAACGTCCCAGCCTACCACCGTAGGAGATTCGTAATCGAATCTAGAAGAATCGAAAAACCTTAACAGTTTTTCGTTTTTAAACTATGATAATAATATGAATTAAAAAAAAAATTATTTTAAGGCATGCATATCAAAAAATAATTGAAAAAAACAATATAGATTTATATTTTTGAAATGTCGGCCGATGTTTTTTTTTTTTTAGCTATTTTTGTTAAGCAGGTGGCGCTTCACATTACGTTTGTGATGAAGACGATTAGGAAGTTAAACGCGCAAAGAAGTCGAGATATGCACGATTTACAGCTTTAGTTGGCGCATATTGTTTATTGAAAGCAAATATCTTGGGGTAAGTTATGGTTTTTGTCTTCCGTAATTAATTATAAACTCTGAAATATTGTTATTAATTGTAATTTTCATAAAGTACGATTTGGAAACTGCCAAATTTACTTAATGCATATGTTTAGAATCTGTAGTGCTGTTGGAAGAAATATAAATCAAAGAAGATGAACAGAAACGCAGAAATGTCGGAATCTACACAAGTTAGTTCCCTCCCCTTGCCTCCAAATCAGTATTACAGTTGCTACACAGATGAAAACATTCAAAAAGGAAGGGCACCTTCTCCTCCTAAACCTGTCCAGGATATGTATTCTATGTTTGGTGTTCAGTTTCATGCTGATGATGTGATTATCAGACCGTTAGAAAGTCAAGGGATCAGAAGACTCTATCCACAGAACTACGATCACAAACGCGAATTGAAAAAACTAAATCATTCCATATTAGTCAATTTTCTGGATATGTTGGACATTCTTATCCGGTGCCCCGACACTTCGAAGCGCGAAGAGAAGAGGGACGACATCAGTCTCTTGTTCATCCACATTCATCATCTCATAAACGAATTCAGACCCCATCAGGCGCGTGAAACGTTGAGAGTCATGTTAGAGGTGCAGAAGAGACAGAGACTTGAAACCACCGAAAGATTTCAAAAACATTTAGAAAAAGTGACCGAGATCTTACAGAATACTCTGGCAAACTTGCCAGATTCATCGGATGTGGACTGTAATTTGTTGATGCCTCCGGAAATGATGGATGTGTCCGATATTAAAGAGCATCAGGAAGAAGAGGATTGCCACGGTTTGGATAGATTGATGTGCGATATTGTTGATGCTTTGTAATTAAATGCTCGTTAAGCTTAATTTGTAATAGAAAAGGATATTAAAATCTCATTTTTTTTTTTTTACATAGAATATATTTGGAATGTGCACTCGTACTGTATATTCTTTTGTGTGATTTATGTAAGCAGACTTGTCATAGTTCAAGGATATATATCTACAGAACATAAAGCATTGTGAGGTAAATAATAAATCAAAACATATTAAAAATTTATATTAGAATTGAAGTAAATCTTTATAGAGAATTTTTATAATATGGCAGGGAGGAAATATGTTATGGTTATACTGAGTTTAATTACTGGTGTTCCTGCAATCTGAGCCATTGAGTTTGTATTGGATCTGGGAGTAGAACAGGACCATTTAGTCTTTTGTTTATTAAACAAATGAAATATGTAGAATGTTTATTAATAAAAAGCAGTCAGATTTTATTTTCTATCAATAAAAATAGCATTATTTTTATAGGGATAGGAAGAAGTATGAGTCCCTAAGTTTTCTCCATGCTTGGAGAAAAATTCCCAGCTCTTCCTCCTCTTTCAAAGGCCCTTCCTTCAGTTCATTAATTTTAGCTTTTGATTAATTTAGAACAATAAAATTATTAAAGTTTGACAAAGGTATGCAAGATCATATAAATATTGCCAAATAATAAATATAAAATAATATACATTATTTTTTTACTATTACAGTATTTGTAAGTATATTTTTTTAACTTATATCAATAATTTAGGATTGTTGATTAGAAATTGCCTTTTTAAAATCCTTATATTACAACAAGAAAATTCAGTTACAAATCAGTTGTATTCTAATAATGAAGAAAAGGAAATTAGAAAAGCAATTATTTAAATTTTTTATTCTATGTTGTTTTTTAATCATACAACTTTTTACACTCAACTGAACTATTTTAACTTTAACTTGAAAATAATTACTAATTTTTGCATATTGCAGTTCAGCTTTTAGAAAATTTATTTATGTACTCGACTGTGGACTCTACAAATTCATCTTTAGGAATAAACATGAAATTTTCCTTCTGGAGAGCAATTTCAATAATCGCTACATAACAATGAAATCTCAAATTTTACATACCCTTGAAGATAATTTGTATTGAATTAAAAAAATACTTGGATATGGAAAAGTTTCTAGACAGAGAGCTGGGGATAATGCAGAGATTAGCTGTCATACAACTTTTATTAACTAAAATAAATTATTTCTGGCTTATAAGATGTTGAAAGGAAAAGTAAATGGATATCTTTGACTTATTGTAAATATTCTCATTTTATAAATAAAGTAATATTGAATATATATATAGAACAGTTTTNAGAATACAGATGTTTGTAATTGCTACACCATTATATAATAATTAAAATCAATAACATCAATTAAGATAATTAATCAAAAAAATTTATTGCAAGTGTTCATCCCTTTTTTCTTTTCATTTCAAAATATTAATCACCAATTACTGATTAAATTTAACATATAATTAATTGTTTTGACTATTTTGATTAACCTTCTCGTTGTGCTTTATAAGTGACTAGCATAAGAGCTTGGCATTGCTCGAACAAAAACGATAGCAAAGATTAAGATTATTAGATTATAGCCGATCTTACCCGTTTTCACAAAGTGCAAGAATTAGGTCCCCCCTCTTACGAGACTAATTAGAAAATTTTTAGATATCTGCTTACCACACTGGGATAACGATAATTAAGATTCACAGCAACCACTAACCAGTGCGTGGTACCACTAAGTGACAAATAACAAACATTTTTGTAACCCCTTCCAGGATCTTCTAGTTTACTAAATTCGAAAAATAAGTTGGATCTTCTCGAATCATTCATTAATATAAATTCAAATATAAAATCAAACATTAAGACTAAGAGTTTGAATAAAGCAAACTTATGTGCATGTGTTCTCTGTGTCAACTTTACAGGGTGGCAATAATTAGCCTGTACAAGTTTTTTGCATTGTAAATTTATTGAAGAAATGAAAATTAGCAAAACAACAGCAGATAGCAGTGACAATACTTTACGTATTAATCAGACATTCAGCCTGTTCAAAGTGGCCTCCTTTTGCCTTGATGCAGAGCCCCAAATGTGTTTCTAAATTCTCGGCAATGGGCCACAGCTCTTCTGGAGACAGTTTGTCCCACTCCCAGCACAAGGATTGCTTCAGCGACTCCAAACTTTTGTGGTACTTAGCGCAGGCCCTAGCCTCCAAAATGGACCACACACTAGTCCATCGGGTTCAGATCCGGTGAGTACGGTGGCCATTCCGCAGACACGATGAAATCAGGAAAATGAGCCTTGCACCACTCCAGAGTCTTCTTCGCCCTGTGTGCTAACGCTGAGTCCTGCTGAAACATCCATTTCACACCGCCAAAATGCTGCTGAACCCACGGAAGTACCATGGTCTTGAGAATGTCATGGCAATTGATTTTGGCCCCTTGATCAAAGAAAACAAGGGGTGTCTTGCTGCTTGCACAAATTCCAGCCCAAACATTGGATTTTGGCAATGTTCGATGATGGCTGAGCATCTGGGAGCCTCCGCAGACCAGTTCCTGTTCATTTGATGGTTGTGCACCTGTTGTACAGAGGAAAGCTTCTCTTCTGTGAAGAGAATGCGCTCCCATTGTCGACCTGCGGCCTGACGCTTGAGTTGACGGCATCTTTGGAGTCACATGAACTTGTTTTCATCGGTGAGGAGCTGACCTTTTGGAACTTGTAGGGCTTGAGTCCAAGTTCCTTTTTCACTATTAACTGCACCGATTCATGATTAATTCTGATCTCATGAGCAATTTTTCTTATGGAGATCTTTGCATGTTGGTCAACTCACTTTTTGATGATCTTGCGATTTTTAGACTTGTTGATGGTGTGCTTTCTTCCACATCTGGAACAATCACCATCATGACCAAGCTCCTTGAATCACTGAACTGCATCCAAGACTGTCATTTTGGGAGCACTGAGCAAACGAACAATTTCACATTGACACTTTCCTTGCCGGAATAGCTCCAAAATTGCACAATGTTTGTTCAACATCCTTAAAAAAATAAAGAACTAACCCTTATTACACCGAAAGCACATCTACATGGGCAGGAAATCATGGAGAATTAAACAACAGTATGTAAATTGGTGACAGTAAAAAAGTTCAGGTGCAGCATTGCTACAAACTTTGTATGGGTTAATTATTGTCACTCTGTATATACTACAAGTTCGGACACATGCGCTGCATATCTCACTGACTATCCGATTGCGCTGCATAGTTACCTATCTCATATGCATACATGTCTTGCCCCTCACTACCTGCTGACACCAAAAATATAACACTTACCTAGATGATACTTTTAATTTATATGAACGTTTAATGGAAAAATATACAGCCTATTTATATTCCAATATTTCATATTCATTTATGTTCCAATATTTAGATTGGACTCTGAAGGTCCAATCTAAATATTGGTGAAAGAATTTTTGAAAGCGGATGAGTAGTTTCAGAGATTACGTCCTACATCCAAACTTACAAACTTACCTCTTTATAATATTAGTATAGATATAAATTTATGAAATTGATATTCATATTATGGTCTATGCAGTTGATGTATGTTATTCATAATAACTTATTTAATTTAATTTTATTTATTATAAAAGTTTGTAGTATTTAAATCCTGTTGTTAAATAAACTTTTTTTTTTTTCTTATTTTGTTGAGTGGAATTTGGATTATATTCATTTTCAGTTTTTTGATAGACTATAATGATCATCAAAACATCATGTAGATTTCTAATACATAACATACATATAATCAAAACAATTTGCATATATTTTGAGGAAATAGGTAACCCTTGATATATACAGTTAATTGGTTTTGCAAGTATGCCACGTATCTCTAAATCACATATAACAAAGTTTATTGAGTCAAAGTTTCCTGAGACTAGACCAGCATTAACCAAAACCTGCACTGGTTGAAACCACATATATCAATGGTTATCTGTATATTGTATAATAAACATGATGCAGTTATAGTTTATGCATAGTTTTATTCTTGAGTTGTTTAAAGAAATTCGTACAAATTAAAAACAAATTATCTTATAGAAATATATTTAAATTTGGAAGTTGCATTCGAAGTATATAGTAAAAAACCCTTGTAAAATAATTTATGAAGCAAATTTCATTTCAAAAACTTGCTTATGTTTATCTTTGCTACTACGACTACTGACACGAATTGTCAGTGAGTGGACAAAGTGCTTTGCACTGAGAGAAAAATCTTGATCCACGAGCTCACTGCACAACTACTGCGGTCACAATAAAGAAGTTGATGGAAGACTTATACTACATTTGCACACAATCCACGACTCACTTTGATCTCGATTTACCTGTAATCTGGATTGTGACTGTCATCAGTTGAACGTCGTGCTGCTCGCACAGGCAGTCCGCTTGAGAAGAACACGGCTATTATACATGATGATAAAACTGACATAACTATGTGGTGAGTTAGGAACACCAACAAACAAAATGGATGTTTTGGTTAGAAGTAAATACTTTTTCTTGCCATATATCTAATAATAGACAGATGTCATTGTCTCTCCAAATATATTGTTTATTTCTCTGTTGATAGCCCGACACGTGTTCCGCAATCATCTTGTAATTTCTCATGTGCGTGGGATTGTGGGATTTCTCTTATGATTGGATCTAGTTTTGAGAACTCTCTCGAGTCGATGGCGATTGAACTTCGTTTCAGTCGAGAGTGGTCGCCGACCTTCGTCACAATCTAGATCGAAATGCTCGGTGCGAACGGGGTATTAGGGTATCGGAAAGTGTGAGCAAAGTAGGATCCTCAGCAATCTATACCCAATTTGATAAAGAATGGAACTGTAATCTGCTGGGAGCATTTGATGCCAATGAAGACACTTTTTTTTTTGAGTTGGCGATGGGATGAAATGTAAGCATATCTTCATGACCTAATTCTTCTATATGCCATTGTGACCGCAGAACAGTTGTCCAGCAAACTCATGGATCATGATTCGTTTCGACGCAAATCACTTTGTCTATTTTGCTATCTAAAGCTATACCCACTTTTGCATTT